TTGATGTAAACCTAATTTTTGGCTGAGGTCTTCAGTCTTCCTTGGATTTATAGATTAATTATATAATGTAACTTTTTTGGTTTGAAAGCAATTAATTATGAGAACTGTTATTAGTACTCTACAAATCTCATTTTACACTCCTTACAAGTGTTTTTTTTTCTCTCTAATTATAGAAGTTTGAAGTGCAAATTGAGATTTTTAGCTAGTTTGCCAATAACAATTTTCCTAATCATGTTTAACCTTTTTTTATCAAATTAGAACACGTTGCATTATTTGCATGCAGCCATGCATGCATGCACATTTTGATACTAAAACTTCAATATACAAATAAGGAGCTAATTAACTACTAATTAGATAGAGACTGCGTAAAATAAAATCAGCGCGGATGACTTATATTGAAATAAAAGATGAGCATAGAGCGAATTGTAAGTTCAAACGTTATAGGTTTAAATTTTTTTAAAGAAAAAAAAGAAAGTAGATTTACGTAATAAATTTAACTTATGTGGGATTCTATGCAAGTAAATTTATGTCGTAAATTTGTACTCACAGATCAATCAAGTTGGTTGTAGGGATTTTTTTTGGGTTACTGATGAAAAGCGACTCAAGTTGAAGGTATGTAGATTGTTCTTTTTGTGTTACATTAATATAAAATATCATTGTCGTCGACCATTAAGTGCATTTTTAACCCAATAAGTGGTTCATAACTATTTTAAGAGTCTATTAAACCATTTGATTGGTCTAAATACACATTTAATAAGTCATTTGTAGATTTTCATACTCAATAAGTTAATGTACTTTTGAAGGAGGTTCAAGCACCAAATTTAAGTTGGCATTTTCCAAAAGCCAAAACGGCTAGTCTCCATTAGGGGTTAAACCTCAGTTATATTTCTCTCAAAAGAGAATGTGGAATCATATAGTAAAAAAAAAAAAGCAAAAAAAAAAAAAAAAAAAAAAAAAAGAGAAAAAAAAAAGAAAAAAAAAGATAGTGGATTGACATCCTGCAATAATTCACAAGCAAATGTACACATTGGTACTAACTAAAATTCCAAAAATGACCAAGCCAAGTCAAATTGTTAACTATTAATATTCCTGTACTGCTCATCAAAAAGGTCATAATACATGGATTGACAACCACTTCAGATATATGTGGTCGGAATAAGTGGATCGAGAGATCCGGACCTAACTAATTTCAATCTTACGATCCCTATTAAACCATTCAACTGGCATAGCTTATAAAAATTCAAAAACTTGAACGGTCCGGTTCTCTTTTTCTCTCTTGAACAGTTTGAATCTCTCAATTTGCAAACTCTGAACATAAAGATTTATACAGAATCTCAAACTATAATAAATAGGAAAGTACACAATATATATGGGCCATTTTCACAAGACAAGTGCCCCTTTGGGGAGGAGAAGGTCGGGGTACGTGGCAGTCTCTCATATATTCTAGAACCATATATGATACTACGTTATATATATATTATGTTTTGTGTATGATGAGGGACACCAAATTATAATTTGGTATTGGAGATAAGATTGAACCCCACTTTGGATGTCTTGTTTGTACATTCAGAAAGGTATTTGAAAGGAAAAGTTTCAACTACTTTGAAAGCTCTAGAAACCCACACATTCCACATTCCACATTCCACAACGCAACGATCATATGATTTAAGCTATTGGCCACTACCATCCGTCTCAATTCTAGTTGGCTTTCCATTAATCATCAAAACCATTCCTTCTCACAATTTTTTACGGCGGTCAAATCTTACTAGGTTCTAAATTTGGTATAAATACGCAGTCCCTTTTTGCTTAATCTCCCTTGACTCAACGTGGCCGTTAACTTTCCTTCTCTTGCTACACCAACATAAAGGAAGGGAAAAAAATAGCATAGAGGAAAAACGAAGATCAACAATTGTTTTTTATTAAGTCATTTTACAAGGGTTTGGCTTCACAGAGTTTGCCATTGAATAATAAGTGTTAGCTAATCAGTATCAAGAACTCATATTACATGAGAAAGTAACGGAGTTGAAATTAAAAAAAATCTTTCACTAAATGTTTATGCTACAAGGCTTGTTGCTTATGATGATTATACATTTGTAGGCTTTCGATGACACATTGTGGCAAAAAGATTTTGGAAAAAGAAAAAAACTTTTGGCTGGAGAATTGAAGAAGGATAAGCAGAGTATTAGCCATTGGTAATAATTGGATTAGAGAAATGTTAAAAAGACTCTTAAAAGTGAGACTCTCATTCTCTGCCACCTCACAGTTTAAGGTAAATTTGTGTGCCTACATTATAAAATAGTGTCAAAAATATGAGGTGGTAGAGAGTACATAGAGAGTCCCATTATGAAAGAGTCTCCTTAACATTTCTCATTGGATTAATTACATGCCATTCAATCGATTAATCTATGCTTTGCGAATGGTAAGTTTATGACTACTAATTTATTGAAGAGAATTGTTATTGGCACTCCAAAATTCTCATTTTGCACTCCAAATTTTCTATGTTTAGAAAGAACAATACACTTGTAAGAAGTGCATAATAAGATTTTTGGAGTGCAAATAACAATTCTCTTTATTTAATTATTCAATTTTTCATAAGAAATAATTAAATACGAATAAGGATCCTCTCCGGATCCTCTTTGTGAACATCCTGGGGATCCGCGTATCTTGTATGTTTATTGTACATCGTGCGGTTAGAAATCATTTTAAATTTTATTATTTAAAATTGAACACAAACAGTATCTGAAGAAAATTGACTGCACAATATACGATGAACAGACACAATTCACGGATCGATCCCCGAGATCCTTACAAAGAGGATCTGGATTCATTAAATACATATCTAAACCAGGGGTAGTGAGAGACACGTGGCACAATTGTGAAAGAGGGGTAACGATCACCTTGAGTTAAGTGGGTGAGAAAAATGATGTGAGATCCTGTATTTTAGATATATATATTTATTATATTTAAAGAGTTTTTAAGGATTTTCCTTTTGTACATTACGTATATGTGTGTTTTATACATATGTATATGTATATATACATATTGTAGAGGTTAGGTTGGCATGAGGTGGATTTAGTTTGGACGTGGCAAATACTAGGACTAGAGGAAGAAGTAAGCTGCTTTTCGAATACTCTATTTGCTGAGTGTTGGTAGCTATGATTTGTGTGGTGGCATAATATGGTTTGTAGCTATCTTGTTTAGGAGCTTGTAAGCACTTAAGTTGGTGAGTACTGATACCTATAGGCATTGAGGTGGGTGTCGTTAAGTGGAGGTGTAAAGCTACATTCACTAAATACTTATGTAGATTGTTAAGGGGATATCCGCCTCAATGCCTATAGCTTAACAATGCCTATAGCTTAACAATTCTATGTAGACTTACTAATTACTTAATGTCACCTCCTACATTCACTATATCTGCCACCTCCAATTAACGACACCCACCTCAATGCCTATAGCTTAACAATCCTATGTAGATTTACTAGTTACTTATGAATTACCCATGCAACTTTGAAGGTTAGGTTTTCCTAAAATAAATCCTACTTGGAACCTCCAACATAGAACGTATATCTCCCATGTAATCTATTCATGGCGTCCAGATTGAATGTAAACATGCAAGACTCATTAAGTTTTGTGAGAACCTTTTGAAAAACCATATAACTCTAAAGACGTGACGTCCATCCTAAGTAGCTACACATATTAACCACAAGAAGCCTTAGTCAATTTTAGGGACAGCCCTCCGCCCAAATTGCATCAAATTACTAAGACAAATAGATAGTTTAAAGCACAGTGATTAATAACTCAAAATATGCATGCATAACATCATAAGCAATTAAATAAAAACTACATACTCACGCGAAGGCTCAAGGCTTCGCCCTAGCAAAAGAAGATTAGTTACGCATATTCATAATTAAACTCAACATAATTGTATTAAACTAGAAAAAGAATGAAAACACCTTGTAGAATCAATTATGAAAATCTCTAAGCTTTTGCCAAATCCTTCTCTTAATCTTGCGTACGTAGAAGAGAGATTCTAAGTATGCCAAAAAGGCTTATTTATACTACTCTAAATAAAATCCTCCTAGTAAAAGGTCTTAGAATCAAACTAGGAAACCAAATAAATTGAAATAAAATAGAAAACATAATCATAAATTGACTTGGTAAATTCGCCTAAAAATCTGCATAGCCACGTTTTGGACCCAAATCAGCTCCAAAATTGGCCCAAAATAGCTAGATTTAAAGCTTGGACTATTCTGAACACTTCTCCAAAAGGCCGCTAACCCATCTGAGGTCATCTTGGGCTCCAAAAACGCAATTTAAGCCTAGAAACGTCATTTTCCAACAACGTGCACTTCTCCTTCATTTAATCTTCAGAAAATAACCGCTTGGTAGACAAATCCCAAATTTTGACACGACTAAGCCAAGAGACATATGAATGTCCTTCAATTTGAATCACTCTAAAATTCATCCGTTGGTCATGTTTGCTCCAAAGAACGTCGAATATCCTATATTGAAAATATAAAGCAAAGTATCAAAATTCTACCAAAATAATTACCAAATTATACTAAGAATAGGATAAAATATATAATATAATATTGACTCATCACTATCCTTGCTTATAATATATTTTACTAGTATTTGACTTATTGATCAAGTCTTGGAGCCGTTCTATTTCACTATAAATAGGAGTAGTGCCTTATCATTTTTCCAAATGTGAGTGCATTGATGAATGATAGGGCACTACTAGAATAATGCTTATAGGACACCATTTTTTGCACACCATTTGCAATTGCTGGCCATAGATATAAAGCACTCACTCTTACTATTTTTTGGTGTCTTTACAGTGTGATGCCACGGATATGGGTGACCTTCAACATTGAGACACCAATGATTGGTGGCTGTTAAATAACTTCATTTCTTAAAAATAATTTCTTGTGCATTTGTGATTAAATGGGTCACCAATAGAATTTATTGGGCACCAATAAAACAATTAACCTCTCTCCCCTTCACAAAAGTCCAACTCCTCCCCTTCATTCTCTCTGCTCGCTTCCCCCTTCATTCTCTCTTTCCTCCCTCCCGTATCCTCTCTCTCCCTCTTCTCTTTCATGCAGCAGGGCCTCCGTCCTCCGGTCACCAATGACCATCAAATTATACCTCAAGAATCCTCTTCCCTTCCTTTTTCCAACCCTTAAGTTAGTTTCTACAAATTCGTAGCCAAATTTTCTGAATTTCAGATCTAAGAAATGGTGACCGCGGGTTTTCTGGCCAATTTTCGGCGAAGTCTGCCGGAATTGGACCTTAACCCAAGAGGTAAAAATGATCTTTTCCTCGTGGCTGTTCCCTACTGTAAGTGATTTCTCAAAATAAAACTTTTAGTTTTTGGATCAATTCTAGATTTCGAATTTTAATTCCATTTTCTCTATGCATGTCGAAGATTGGGGACGAAGAAGTTTAACCAAGGTTGTTTCCAACCTGGGCCGAGAAGAATGGAAGCCTTGGAATGTTGTGGGTGAAACTAAGGTGAACAGGGTGATTTTCTCCTTAATCACAAGGTAACTGATATTACAGTTAAAGTTGAAGCTCCCAATCTTGAATCTTTTAGATCAGTAAGTTCTAGTTATTCTTTTTTTTCTTTTTTTATTTATTTTTTATCTATAACAATATTGCTTCTTGTGCAGCACTTAGAAATCTCCTTTTCTTCACATTGTCATATTAACAGTTTTCACTAACTATTGGCATTTCTTTTTGAAGTTCTAATTTCAGTTGTTGCTTCTTTTAGAAAAATGAAAAAGCTCGTCTGAAACAATTTGTCAATAGCAACTGCATTGAGGGAGTCTTCCCTCCTTGTAATGTTCTAAGTTTGTTCTCTTTTATAGAATTAAGTGCAAGTTGAATGGCAAATATGCTAAAGATAAGCATAAATCTCTTTATTGTAGGTTGTGAGTTCGAATGGGAAGGTGTAACGGATTCATCCCCTTCCATTAACCGAAAACAGGGATCCAAAAGTATCCTTTCGAACTTGATTTTAATTTTTTAAGTTTTTGTTCTTAATTTTTTTAAGTATTATTGTTCGGAAACTTCAAGCATCTAATTTGTGCATTATAGTGCATTGTTTTGGTAGAGAACCTACCTGAGGATCACTAAGTGGAGAACCTTAAGAGTATACTTGGTGAAGCTGGAAAGTATGTTCTTTTCCTTCTTTTTCTCCCCATTCTATGACATTACTGTTCACTTCAGTTTTGGTTATAACAGGGTTTTCAATCTTCCAGTTCAGAGTATACATATCAAGTTGTATTTCATACGATAAAAGTGTAACATTTGTGCCTTTCAATCTCAATCTCGCTCCCAATTGCTTTTAATTTTGGGTGATAATTCTGTCCTTATTGTATAGCTTGTGAAGCAAAAAAACATGAGCTTGATAAAATTACTTAACAAATTTATCTTATTACTTAGTTTTCAGAGCCACCAAGTCTATCAATATTCACCAAGTCCATCTCTATTTCCAGTGCCTAGTTTCCAAAGGCGAAGTTGAGCCAGGTTGGGAACTCTATCTTTCTCTCTTTACCTTTTGTTTTATTTCTCAAGGAAGTTGATTAGGTTGAACAAAAATGAATAAAAAGAAATGAAAACAAATTGAAATTTGTTGGTGCTTGTGTTGATGTTGAATTTGTAATATATCAAGACCCAAAAATTAGATAAATAGTTGACTTTGATGTAAATTGATAACATCAAGCCACTAGTGCAAAACAGTGAGTCTTACCTTTAGAATGTTTTTGTGATGTCATAATTGATAACCATATTCACTGATCGAAAATTTATCTACTCGCAAGTATATCACTTGTGAAATGTTGAGGCTCATGAATTTATCTGCTGCCACATCAGTTTTTCGTGTGGAATGTTAGAGACTCATACTCGCAAGTATATGCTTTTTATGCAGGTTGTAGGAAACAATAAAACTGTAAAGGCATACTTTTGTGTGTATTTTAGTCATTTGATCCATGTGCTTATGTGTTTGCAGGTAGAGATAACAATTACTGAGGCTCAAGCATTACGAGGAGCATGTCACTCTCAAAAAACATGTTTGGAGGTGTTCAAGAAAATGTGAAGTCTTTTAAGTGGCAATTTCTTTCAAATTTGGTGCCTGTTTTGTACTTTGACAGATAGTTTCATATTTTTTTAGTATAGCTCATTGGTTTTAGACCTGATTTTTTTTAATATGTGATTAGTTATGGAAGACTACAACAAAACTGCAATTCTATGTAGTCTATTAACTATATATATATATATATATATTTGGGTGCCCAGATTAATGGGCCTTTAAAAAAAACATATTACAACATGGTCACCGATGTATAAAAATTATATAATATTTCAAAGTTGTAACTATTCATTGTGCCACCGTTATCTAATTGGTGGTGTTTGTAACAATAGAGTCCTCTACATAGGACACCATCTCTAATTTAGTGGCTACTTGGTGGCCATTGAGGTTTGCCACCAATGAGAGTATGACAATAGACACCAATGAAAAAGGTGTATTTTAGCCAAATTTCTAGTAGTGGGGTTTGCATGCAATGCATCCAAATTGGTAGAGAGGGAAAAAAAAAAGAGTCATAAATAGAAAGGGAGCTAGGGTTTGATACGTGGGCATTAGTAGATGAGTTGTCTTGCCACGGTTCAGTTTATCAAGGTGAGTGGTTCATGTAATATGTTTCAAAATATTCTTATTTTTTGATAAATGAAAACCATGAGATATCGTGGGTTTTGAGGTACTTCTAAATATCTCTATATTTCAAGTCAAGCATGTTAGAATTTGTGACGTACTTTCAGATTATTATATGTCTGACTAGTGAATTGTTTGAGATGTTCATAGAGCATGAGAACTTTGGTGCTGCATTAATATGAGGGATAAATGTAAATTGCACACGGGGACGTTAGGGTAGGATGGCCAACAGGGGTCACGTAGTGAGTTACAATTTATAAAGGATATAATGAACATATAAAGGGATGATGTGATATGGCACTATGTGGCTAAGGCTTTGATATTACTATCGTATTTTCTAGAGTGTAAAACAACATCGCTTGACTGACATAGTACATATTCTACTCATTGGGCAACAGTGGTTGTTGCTCACCCCTCACCCTATTATTTTTCAGATGAGTTACTTGGCAGGACAAGTGATAGACGAGTTGAGGTTGTGCTATATAAGAGATTTAAGGATTTGATTTAATTTGTATACCCTGTAATGATTTTAGAGTTATTTTTATAAGAGAAGTTTGATTTTTTTTTCGTATTTATTTTTTTTTTTTTTTGCACATCGGACGCAGGGTCATATTTTTCCACCCGACTCCGGGTCTAGGGCGTCACAAATGAACTCATAAATATGTAGTAATCCAACCATTATTGTTAAGTGCAAGTGGCCCTTTACCACAGTGGTGGAAAGATGTTGAGCCCTTGCATGACGACTTAAGTTCAAACCCTATTGGTGGCTAATCTAACATGTAATTTAAAAAATCTATCATCTGACAAAAAATACCCATTATTATGAAGTGGGTGAGAAAAATGAACTCACAAATATGTAGTAATCCAACCATTATCGTTATGGCAATATGCTTAGTTGGGAGTTACTTAAGGGAATATTATTATTGTTAGGAATATGTTGAAATTTTTATAAAAATCCAAGTGCTTCTTCAAATAACACTTATAAGACCAAAAGCACATTTAAGCTTTTATTGCCAAAGGTAGCCATAAACGTTTTATTGCCAGGAAACACTTTGGCTCTTCCAAAAACGTTTTGTTAGAAGCATATAGGAAAGACTCTTTAAAATTCAAGCGCTTACATATTCATTTGGCCAACAGTTTATTTGAAAATTATAAATGAGATATAGATGTCTTTTAGAATGCATTGAGGCTATGTTTGGTCGAGAGATTTAAAAATACACCGCAAAATATTAGATAAATTAGATAAAAAAAATTGCAGTTTTTGAGCATTATAAAAACACGTAAAAGAGATTTACAATGAGAAACTGGGAATATTAATACTAGGCCGAAGCCAAAAGAAACAGAAGGCCAAGAGAGACCAGCAAGAACTACACAATGAGAAAAAGGTAGAAAACACAGACTTGGAACAAGCCCCACCCAAGTCACCTTAATCTCATCCTAACAAAAATCTAAAGAGGAGGGCAAGGGAGGCCATCCTTGTTTAGCACACAAACAAACGAAGATGGGGGTCTTACGACCTAGACAATGTCGCTCATCTCTGCACCCTGATACGGGTGATATGTAACGTGCCACATGGATGAGAAATCTTTTGTGTCGTCGAGATATATCTACTTCTATATACACCCTTTGATTTACTCTTCCATTCAATAAATATATACATGATAGCAAAACTTTTACTATACTGCGATCTGTGACATGTATCGTAGCAATTGATAATTATAATGTAGAATCTAACGAATAAGAATTAACCGATTAGAAATTCCAATACATCTAACGAATAAAAACCGAATAACCAGAAATTCCGATGCAGTCCCCTACATTATAGAGAAGGAAAATCCACAACCCTCTTAAAAGCTAAACTGAGTGGTGTGGTCATCTTCCATCAAAAGATCCATGGAAAGAAATTTGAGTTTCTTTTTTGAAATTTTTTCATGGTGGAACCCAATCTGGTCATGAATCATGATCATTAAATCTATAAGCAATATTAATTAATTTATATTATGAAGAGAAGCATGGATTAAAGAAACCTACAAATTAACGGTAGGAAGCTTTTAAGCATTTTTCAAGTGTTAAAGCTTAGAAATCTCAATAATTCATCGTCCACTATTTCACACTAATAAAAAGTTTTTGCCAAATAAGTGTCCAACTTTAGAAAAGCATGATTATAAATGTAATTAAAGAATTTAGAAGAAGCATGCATTAAACAAACATTATAAAAAAGAAGTTTCAGGTTGGGCAAAAAGAAGCTCAACTTTCTTTTGGTAGAATTTAAAAAAAAATTAAAATAGGAGGTGATTTTCACATTATTTTTAACTATCCTTATTTATATTTTATTGTCAGATTCAATAAATTATACAGAGTCAACGGACATAATTAAACAAGTTTATTAACTTGTTAAGCACTATTTACTTGGTGATAGGCCTAACAATTTCTTGTCCCACCCGTTAACCCAACACAAAATGAAACAAAAATAACAAGTTCTGGGTCAACTCGTAAACGAGTTGGGTCGTTATCCGGTCTTCTGTTAAGGACTTGTTAAGATAATAGTATGAAACGTAAATGACATGACCCATTTGCCAGGTTTAAATATTAGGCATGCCAATATTTTGCATCACCCGTTAACCAGTTTCGGGTCAACTAGTTAACAAGTCGAGCCGTTATCAAGTCAATATTAAGAACCCATTAAGATAACGGGTTTGACACAACTCAATATGTTAAGATAATGGATATGACACAAAAAAACGAGAAGAATAAGACAAACATGATCCGTCGCCAAGTCCACTTGTGAATATCAAAGGAAAAATTGTTAGCCAATTATGAAAACAGTACAACTTTTTGATCCACTAACAAAAGCAATTTCTATCTTTGCATGTGACAAACTGTCACACTTCGAACTCCTACTACACAACTGCGGCCAAGCCCGAATGAAGGGTGGTCGTGTTCAATGATGGCCACCACATTTAAACCTCGACAAACCTTCGTGAGGAGACAACAGAAAAGTTGAAACTCTCTCACAGTTTCTGTCGCTGCCCATGCTCGCCTTATCCTACAAATTTGATACATAAGACAGCTTACAGTTCCGGTAACTCCAATGACAGCGACAATTTACCCACACTTAAGCACGAACCTCCTCTTTCCCTTTCAGCCTCCTTTATCCGAAAAACAAGGGTCTACCAACCATTCAGAACTCAGATACCCTTCCTGCATCCCATCCCACGATCGCCCCCTTTTTTTTTTTTTGTCAAAGTTAAATTTTACTCAACTAGATACGAATAGGAATGTTTACATCTTCAGCTAGAATATTAAATAAAAACTCTGGTCCATGGGCATCCCAACAGAAGGAGCCTCTCATTAAGGTTACATGTAAGGCCATAGCATGAGCCGCGGCATTTCCCTTCCGCTTAACAAACACGAAACTCACCCTGCCAACTTGCGACGCCAAGGCCCTAATATCATAGAGTAAGCCTTCTAGTGTTGCATCAATGACATACTCACCTTTAAGCATGCTAATAAGCCCTTGTGAATCAGACTCGATTTCCACCTCCGCAAAACCCCGCTCCCTGCAAACCATTAAAGCTGCCCGCACAGCACTAGCCTCCGCCATGGCCGCCTTATTGAAGAAAAGACCCCCTTCCCCGCCAGCCGCAAGCAGCATTCCAACAAAATCTCGCACCACCCATCCATAGCCTCCTCGGAATGTTGATGCACACCAGGCGCCGTCACAATTAACCTTGATTACCCCAAATTTGGGTCTTTTCCACCGAACAGGATGTCCCGCGTAGGAGACAGCCTCCCCCATAACCCCCACGGCAGTAGATATTTTGGCTGGGTCATGGGATGCCCTATACTCCATAATCTGACTTCGCACCACATTCACGCTTTCCATGGGATTGGCTTCCGTGCCCTTAAACAGCAGATCGTTGCGACATTTCCAGATTCTCCACATAATGAACACGCATTCCTACAATATCAGTTCATGGTTCTTCTCCTTCCGGAATCGATTACACAGACTGTACCAACAGTCTCCAAAATCCTTTCCCGTGGCAAACTTGATATCCAGTTGCAAGGGGCAGCTAAACCAAAATACCCTGCTAAATTCACATTCAAAGAAGAGGTGGTGCTCAGTTTCCCTAGCTTCCCCACACAAAACACAGGCTGTGTTCACTCTCATTCTTCTTCGGTGAAGGTTACCCCTAACCGCCAAGGAGGACCTGCAGCATCGCCAAATGAAATACTTCATTTTATTTGGAACCACCAGTCTCCAAATCTCCATCCACCGTTTGTCTGGTTCGTCCCTCCGACTACAACCCCCGGTTCCTTTCCGCCCTAGTTCACCATTTTCCTGCATTTCCATTGCAATACCATAGCCGGTCCTTACCGTGTAGTCGCCATTGCTAGTATGGTGCCAAATAATTCTGTCATTGCAACCCTCCAGGCTAGTTGGGATGCCAAGGATAATATTACTCTCCTCCTCCTCAAAGCACCCCTTAACTAATTCGACCATCCAAGAGCCCGTCACAGGATTGATTAGATCCTTTACCATCACCGGCATATCCGGGTGTTTTGATATAACTCGGAAGGTATGAGGTCTTGGAATCCAGGGGTCATTTTTCACCCGAATGCTGCTCCCATCACCAACCCTCCATCTTCTCCCTCTTTCCAAGATCCTTTTGCCTTGCATAATTCCTTTCCACCCCCACGATGATCTTTTCCCCACCTTTGCCTCCATGAAAGGACATTCAGAAAAGTATTTTTCTTTAAGAATCTTGCCAAGCAAGCTAAGAGGGTTGGTTAGGATCCTCCATCCAATCTTGGCAAGGTAAGCCAGATTAAAGGATAGAATGTCCCGGAACCCCAGCCCTCCCACTTTCTTTCTTCTCTTCATTTTTTCCCAGCTAATCCAATGCATCCCATTTTTCTCCCTACTGCCCCGCCACCAGAAATTCGCAATATTTGATTCCATTTCTTTACAGAGGTTCACTGGCAGTTTAAAGCACGACATCGCATAATTTGGTAAAGCCATTGCCACAGCTTTAATCATCACTTCCTTCCCAGCAGGAGATAAGAATTGTTCCGCCCATCCATTTATTCTTCCATCTAGTGCCTCACGAACTCCTTCGAACACAGCCTTCTTGGATGCGCCAAAGTCTGCACTAAGGCCCAGGTACCTGCCGAAAGTCTCCTTTCCAACAAAATTAGTGCAGGACTCAAGGCTGGTTTGGTACAAAAGGTTGAGCTACGGCTAAAGGCTGGTTTGGTATTGCTGTGCTTTGAAAAAAAAACTGATTTTGTTGTGCTGTGAGAATAAGCTTATTTTTGTTGCTTCACGTTTTCAGCTTTTTTCACCCAAAACTGTGAAAATAAGCTATTTTTAAGTGTTTACCAAACACTTTTTTAAGCTCAGCTTTTTTTTATACCCACTTTTTATAAAAGCACCTCAATACAAACTAGTACTTAAACTGATCTAGAGTTTACATGCAGTGCTTTGAATAAGGCGCTAGACGAAAGAATATCAGGAGAGGAAACATGAACTTTAGCTACGACTGGGAGATATAGGGAATACTACGACCCTAGCACAAAAGGGTTTATCTGAAGAACATAAACTCAGCTGTTTCTTCCAATACTATTCATTATTACAAAGAAAGATTGTAAATGTTCGGGTGGTTTGTTTTGACACTGCCTGCCTGCCAAAGCAATGCCATTATATCACAAATTTTGACATCGCTTTCCATATTGACCCGTAACAAATATATTTCACTACAAGGGGAAGCGGTATACTAGAGCACAGTATTGCAATGCAAAAAGATTCAATTGCACGTGGATTTTGAATTGTACGTGACAACTGACAAGCTATGCTCCGTGTGCAAACAATTATGTTGGTTGCCAATATAAGGAGAACAATAATGAACTAACACTGCAAGTAATTATGTAGTATACAATACCCTGAATGATGGAACTTCACGATGAAGATGCTGAAAGTACTTGTCAGGGCGCCAACCGCTCAATTTTCCACACTTTTTGTCCATTGATCTCTTCAGGAGAATATCGTAGCCTATCAAGAAAAAATACGTTGAGACGTTTGAGCAAAATATGTTATGTTCCTTCCAGTTGCACATCCATATAGTTAACTCTTATTCCATCACATCGTTGTTCAAAACACAACTAAGAAAAATTCTTTTATTAACAGACTAAAACACCAAGAGTTGCTAGTACCAAGTCAATCCGTCAACCAAACTTATATCTGAGCTACAGTTCATATCCAAGCCAGTGGAAGGAAAAAAGTACAGATTTCTACACAATTATAAGTATCCAGGATCCAAAACCAAATTTTTTTGAATTTTTCCTTTTTCAGCCCATATCTGCTCCATGCATTTGTTACAGGCTATCTGTCGACACTCAAGCAAAAGAAATGGAAGAAGAACAAGCCATCATAAAGGGGATAGAAACCACCTGTCATGCAAACGAGATTTTTGGCCTTGCCAAAATTCAAACATCTCTGGCTTAAGTCTGTATCCTCCCCAGTTTTTAGGTTTTGGAATTAAACTTCTGCACCAAGAAAAAACAAGTGGAATCTAATTTCAGAGTACATAAATAGAATGCAAGTTAGTTTCCAATCTATTTTAAGGTTGTTCGGAGAGGACTGTAAACTTATTGCAAACAGCTGCACCTATGATCCATGCGGCATATAAGATGGTTATAGGGATTGGGGCAAGGACAATTATCTGTGAATATTTGCATAAAGCTATTAGATATCCATATTACTTACCCATCAGAGAACTTTTCTTCTAGTTCTTTGTATTGGTCATACAGAACATGCCTTCCGGGAACAACAGTGCTCTGGGTAAGAATATACCAATTATTTATATTCCTTAGAGAAAATTTATACTATCGGTAAAATAGAGAAAGAAAATGGAATAGTAGTACAAATGATAGTCAAACTGTAAATCTTTCACCTTTTACTTCCCATAAATTGTATAATCTTTTTCTACCTTTTAAGTGATTTTACAATTTAGTCTAGCTCGTAGTTTAAGATTCCACCAAACAACTAATCTACCACTGGCCATGCAATTACACTAATTTGGTTTGATAATATAGGTAAATTTATATTGGAAAATGGAAAGCAAAAAATGAAGAAACCTACAGAAGAGTCTCAGTGAAAGAAGTTACTTATCAAAAATTATTTCCTCACACCCCTTTTCTCCTTATGCACACCCGTGTTTATTTATGTCCCTTGACTCTCCCTTAATCTATTCAATTCAAAGACCAGAAATATACAGGGTATGCAGGGGTTGACAATAGGTGCAAGGAAATTACTTCCCATATTATCAGTTTAAACTTTATTACATATAACTTACACTGATTTTGGGGGAAAATTTGTGAGCCTTCAAAATCTATACAAAATTTATGCGGCAATCGAGAAAGAACATGTGTCCTATCAAGGGTAGTGAATTCATTAAATATAAGAGAAGATAGAGGTGAAACAAACCTGCTTGCTAACTATTGCTCCAATCTGACTGCCTCGAGGACGGCTATGGAAGTATTGATCAGATTCCTCATCAGAAACTTTCTGCACAGACCCTTCTACTCTTACCTGTAAACCAAAGATGATGTTATGAGACGATCTTCATCAAAACAGAAGCCCCTCATCCAGTTTTTCTGATGTCAGAAGCTAAAATATTTATTAGGAAGCCACCAAGTACAAACCAATGTAAGGCCAAAAAAAAGTAGGTTAACCTAGGCATACAAGCACTATAGGCTAATTCTAAAAGCATTAGCCTCAAAGTGAAAAAATAAAATGTTTACCTGCCGATTAAGACTATCCCAGTAGAAAAGAAGAGATGCATGAGGATTTCCAGACAATTCATGTGCCTTTCGACTTTCATAGTTTGTGTACCTGTACAAATTAATACCATTGAAATGAGAATATTATAAGTATTTTCATTAATAACATCATATCTTCCTTGTTGATATATGTACAGCCTCAATAATAACAGTCAGATACTAACCAGACAAAACCGTTCTTATCAAATCCTTTGAGCAATACCATTCGTGATGAGCTGTAGAAGAAACTAATTTATGTTGAGTAAACTATTAACAGGTTATAATACATGCATGAGGAAAATCATTTTAATATCCAAAAAGAAATATGCGAAGAAAGAAACTTAAGGACCTATGGTGAAAGCAATAAAATAGCTATGTCTAACATGTAAGAACATATGAAACATAAGTTACTGTTGATAAAAGACACATAGTAACAAAGGAAACTGATATCACATTTTTCCGTTCTTGGCAGCCGTTGACAATGCCATAGCATTTGGTTCCCTCAAACCAGCAGCCACTACATCGTTGAACCATTTGCGGAACTGTAAAATAATTAAAGGCTTACTGTAAAAAATGAGGGACACGTTTTGCAACTAAATCTGACATAATTGAAACCAGCTAGACTTGGACATTGAATCTGTACCTGATCAAAGGGGTCAGCCTCCACCTGTTCCTCAAGAAACTCAGGAGAAATATAGTTCTCTCTAAGAGCTGATATATCAACTTGTGGAGGCCTTCCAATACGGACACACATAGAAGTGCCTGGATATGGTGGAAGGCGAAGCTTATATTTATCGGCAATAGATGGTGGGACAAATCTACCACCCAGAAAATGGTGTGGACCAAAAAATTTCTTTGCACACAACTTTGGAGCAGTCAGAGAAACCTGGAAAGTAGCAAGTTTGCATCAACAGGATGGCTTATTGTATATAAAGAAATACACATGTACATATAAATAGATGTAAATTTAAAAAACGAATCACAAAGCGCAATTATTTGTAGCCAAGACTACATTGAGAGTTATTACAACATACCAACATGTCAGGCTTAATGCCTTCAATACCA